ACTGTTAATGAGAAGCACAGGAACAAAGTGATTGGGTATCCAATTTATTGGTCTCATGTCTGTCCTAGAGAAGTCCACATGATGTAACTCTCAAGATCTACTTCTCGCTGCCTGCTTCCTCTGACGTGATTTTGGAGCAGGCACAGGCATAATTGGAGACCCTGGGGGAGTGAGGATATTTTCAGCAGCTTTCTGTCGTGTTTTGAAGTCTTTTTTTATACTGCCGCCATTCTTTTTTCTTCAGCCTGTGTTCCCTTTTTGACATATCTTTAACCTGTTTTCTTCTTTCCTGTTTCTTTGTCTTTTATGCATTTGTCGTTCTCATCCTGTAAATATCTAGCCCTCCTTTTAGGGCCTGCGTCTCTCCTGTCGGTACCAGCGCTGCTTCTCAGCAGCTGGCAATGGCATCATCACTGAAAGAAAGGGGATAGAGCTATTAAAGAAAAAACTTGACTGCCAATTCCATCCTGTTACATGTTGTTTCTTTCCTGTTACCCGTTTTTGAATTTCAGTAAGATAACCAGAATTATTAGTTTTTGTTGATAATTATTTTAAGGACAGCCTTAAAAAGTCATTTCATCAGATTTATACTTTTTGGTTTTCTTTGAAACTGTTTTAAAGACAACAAAGTTAGCATCTAATTCTATTCTGTTACTTATTGTCTTTCCTGTTACCATATTACCATTACTACATTCTTTCCTGTTACCAAATACAGTAACAGGAGAGAAGGTAACAGGACAGGAATTTTTCTCTTGTGCCAATCATTATTGAGTGATAGTTAATCCACTCTTTAAACTAATTGATGGGAAAGTAATCTTACCCCCACAAAACATACAATGATGTCAATTCAAAATATGAGTCTACATAAGAAATCCTAAAAACATCAGTAACAGGATAGATAGACTTAAAAAGTACTACTCACCTATTTAACCTTTGATTGATAGGATAGAAAAAACAATCATTAATTTCTCCTTTCACTCTTCACCATGCTAAGGTTGAGGGAAGCGATCTTTGTTTGACACAGCCTCTTTTTGGTTCAGAGGGAGTGTTCAATATTTTGAGTGGAATTTTCCACAAGGTAACAGGAAGGAACTTACTTCTAGGGACAATCATTTTCATAATTTTTTTTCACTTTTTCAAGCAAAGTTGGATGAAAACAATTATAGAATCACAAACAGAAGAACAAAATTAAGTAATAATAACTTGAAACATACAGATTTATTTGAAATTTAGATCTATTTGTTTGTGTCAAAAGTCTACTAAAAAAATTGGGACATTGCATTTTGGCAGTACCATGAATACAGATTCATTGATTTTCCACAAAAAACAGTATGATAAATAGCAAATATGATTTTTATTCACTTATCTATTACACACCCTTTATAATAAAGTAAAAAAGTAGTTTCAAATCTTTAAAAAATTTTCCATACAACCAATTCTTTTCCAGGGACAGGAATTTTGACATTTTTTGAAAAATTTCCATTTGCGTATATTCGACCGTAACTCCCGGGATTATGACCCCTGATTGTATGAAAAATCCTGTTTTTTTAACTTGTGGATTCTGTAGAGGTCACAATTTTTTATCCGATTTTAAAAACTGTTTAAATATATCACCATTTTACCATAATGAAGGCTGAATTCGAATTTCGGGAAAATCGAAATGAAACTGACTGACAAAATGGCCACTTCTTGTACACAAATTGTGTAAAAGTATGTAATACTCTAGAGGTCACAATTTTTATCTGATTTTGATGAAACTTAAAATATATCTTTCTATCCCAAAGATCTCAGTCATTTTTGCTATTTGGCATTTTAAACCATAACTTTCTGGATTATGGCCCCTTTTGTTTTCTGCTTGTTCTCTATCCATCTCTTGCAAATGTGGGCGTATTTTGCCTGGCAACCACTGGTTTTTGTTTTTAAGGAATATTTATTCGCAGAAACTGGATTGGAAAACGGGCAGAAGCCTATAGACCCCTCTCCACAATAATATTATATTGGATAACTAATTCGAATGACAGACTAGCTTCACAGCTAGCGACAGCTGTAATACCGCTGTATACAATTTTCTTCCGTATATTTCTCCCGACATGTTGTTAAGGATTTACGTAATTTCTGTGCTGTTTTTTTATTTTTTTCAATACAATATTTTAGTTGAATTCGACAAGCAGTACTTTATTTCCAAATATCAAATTAATTTCTTTTACACTGTATGACCATAATAAGCTATAGCGGCTTGTTCTAGAAAATTCTTATGGCATGTGGACAATACATGGGTGCTCAAATAGAGAATGACGGAACAGTGGATCTCTTCTTGTTTAGGGTTACCAGATTATTCATTGAAGAAACCGGGACATTTGTTATTCTGATCAGACAAAAAAGCAAAAATGAGCAAAAAACGTCCGAAGGCGTGAATTTGGGGGCATGTACTCCCATAATTTTTTCAAGAAGTTAGGAGATACATTTCCCATTATTTTTTTTACATAGTTACACTAAACATATATGTTGAGTGGACCATTGACTGGTATTATATCGATTTGTCAACTTGTAGATTGTATTACAAGTCTTAATTACGTTTTTGTGGGGGGTGGGGGGGAATGGGGAATTAAGTCAGAGTTTGCAGCCAAAACTGTACATGCTGCAAACATTCTGCCAATGTAGATATTGTTGGCCCCCGTGGAACTGTTTATTAAATATGAATTGGGTCATTTTTGACAAACAGGAAGTGTTTACGGAGGGGACAAAAAATAATCTTAAGATTGCCCATATCTCGGGTATTTCTCAACAGATCTTGTTTGGGTTTTCTTTTTTGGATTCTTTGGACAAATCCCATATGGGCTCTGACTGATTTTTTTTCGGAATTCGGAAGTTTGCTCGATTAGTTATTGGATGTTACTATAGGCCTACTCATAATTCATGGTGTAACTGACATGACCTGATGTACTGAAACACGTTAGTACTCCTTTGGAGTTATAGTTTTTGTTTTTATTTTGTAGAATTTAGTCAGAGTTTGCAGCAAAAACTGTACATAACATTTTTAACAATTTGGCCGCCGTAATGGATTTTATTAAAAACCTTTAAATCGATATTCAGCCGCCATTTTGATTCCAATTTCCAAAAATATTTTTTCGTTTTGTACCTAGTCAAGGTGGCAACAATTCCTAGGGAGATGATTTTTGTATTTCGATTTCATTTACTTCCGGTTACACTTTGAATTTTGTTCAACTTTTTACCCTCTATCTGGTTACCTAACCTTTCAATGACCCTTGACCTTTGTATGATGACCCTGCTGTCAACTAACAGTTAACATCAAAAAGTTTGGTCTTGAAGTTTTATTAAGAGTTCATTATGACAGGTTTTCCACTATGATAGGTATTGGATGTTACTATACTCAATAATTCATGGTGTAACTTGATTGTTGCCGTAACAAGGCATGGCCTGACCTACCGAAACATGTCAGTACTCCCTCAGAGTTCTAGTTAACCAATAAAATTATAATCAAGATCATAGTCATTTTCTATACAAGCACATTGCAATTGCTGTTTTTGGCCTGTATTATGCACTGAATTATATTTAGATAATGAAGCATGAGTGTTTGTAGCAAATAGTATACATTAATCACTAGCCTATAGTTTATGTGTTTTGTGTTATTATTTTCAATTGAAAATTACCTGAACGGCATCAGGACGGGACAGCAAAAAAGACCCCCAAAACCGAGACTATCCCGCTAAAACAGGGACGTATGGTAACCCCATTCTTGTCATTGATAAGATTCTCACATAACTTTTATTGTTCTACTATCAGACATTCATCATTAATTATCAACAAAACACTCAATAATCCTCTGTTGACAGCTAGTTATACTATTCTACAACACCAATCATTTATAGCTTATATGGCATCCTATATTTGTACACTAATCTGTATAGGGTGTTGAATTTTATAGTTTCATGGCAGAGGTTGATAGTAGCCATGTTTGAAAATGGGTCCCAAGAAATTTGGATCAATTTTTAACACCAGCTGTCATGACCGGCATATATGGCTGAGATGGGTCCCAAGAAATTTTGATCAATTTTTAATACTAGCTGTCTTGACCGGCATAAAGGGCCGAGCTGGAACCCATTGTTGAGATTAACTGAATTTATCAATAAATCATTTTGATTGACTTTTCAATTGAATAATTCCGTGATTTTAATGATTCAAATTTAAAATTGAATGTATGTATGTATGTTAGTGTTAAAGTAGCATTCTTCATGCTATAATAGTTCAAAATAGTAAATGAAAATTGAATATTTTGAAAATTTCAAATAACCTTTATTCTCAGTGACTTCAAACTTTGAAAGTTTAACAAGATATAACGTGAATAGTCTTGATTGTCAAGTTACATTGCTATGATAATAATCAAAGTCTCGATTATCCATTTTGACATTAAATTATGAAATGGCACAGATGTTCTAAGGGTCATTCCATATCAACTGGACCAATGGTGTGAACATGACCCCCTGCAAAAATATTATAAAAAATATGTTATAGTATATGGCCTTAAACTAACAAATACGAAATTATACATCTCTAGGTCAAAAACTCGCTGAGATATGGCCATTTGAAATTAGGGTGCTCAAACGGATCTTAAATTCAGTTATTTTTTTCAGGTTTTCATGCGCTTTAAACTCACATTTCTAACATATATTTTTTATAATTTTTTGGGAGGGGGTCATGTTCCCAACTTTCCAAAATTTGGTCACTTGACATGGAATGAATGACACCTTTTCAATTCAATATCTTGGTAGAGAATGACACAATGTTGCAAAATTTTCAGTTCATCATATATAAATAGAAATGAACCATTTTTGTACTGATATTCATTTTAGAGATTCAACTTAAACAATATTAAAGTTTCCAAGGGATTCAGAATCCCTCGAACTGATCAAATAAGATCATTCAATGTTAAAAACACACAACTTTTTTTTCGTATCAAATGGTGTGAATATTTTTTTCAGATTTCGCCAGTATAAAAACGCGTTATTGATAACCAATGTACAAGCATCTGATGTCGGAACATACAAATGTTTTGCAGCCATCAAAGCTTTATTACGGATGGATGCCAGTTCATCACAACTACGATGGAGATTCACCGATGAGGCTGTCGTTAACATAACTCAAGGTAAAAATGGCTGCTTATTTTCTTCATGTACCAGTCTGCTGACATTGTTGCTATGAAAATGCACTTTAGGAATAATATTTATTTTGATAACGTTTAGCAAAGAAAAATACCACCTGTGTCTAATTATACAGAAGAATGAGGGTCAGACTTATAGATATATATGTTGAGAGAAATGCTGAGCCTACCATATGCTCTTAATGTTTGTGTCTGCTGTCTAAAAAGATTGAACTCTTCTTCCATGTTGCAACTGTTAACATATAGCATCAATTTATTTGAATAACATCTAGAATTAATTTGGCGAAAAAAGCCAAAGAAAAGTCGGTCAATTCTGTTTTTAATTTTTGGGTTGGTTTTATACGTAACTTTAGATTTATTATTTCAAATGCTTCCTTTTACTAAGATACAGATTGAGTTGATGGGTGTATTCATCAAGAAGTTATTACTCATACTATTCTTGTTCATTTCATTTATTTATGATGATGTCAGCATCATAGGACTCTGTGGAAAGGATTCTGGTTGATCTGACACTAAGCGGACAAGGGCAGAAATAATAATGGTGGAAGAAATGGTTTACTGGCATTCGAAGCATAATTTATTTTATCTTTGGCATGTCCAGAAAGATTTGATTAGTATTTTTGGTCCCCTAATGGTGAAATGGGAGGCGACTCTAGGTTTTTTTTCCATCTGCTTTTTATACACCCACACTTTCATGTGGACGTATATTGTTGTTGCCACTGTCCATCTGGACATCCGTCAGTTCACATTTAATTTGTGGATACTACTCACAATTTTTATCCAAATTTTGACGAAACTTGGAATATCGGTTTATATCCAAAAGGTCTTGTTTTCTTTTGATATTGGCATGTATCGGAATATAACTTCATGGATTATGGCTTTTGATTGTACGAAAAATCACATTTTTAGATTGGGGACACTCTAGAGGTCACAATTTTTATCTGATTTTGATGAAACTTGAAATGTAAGTTTATATCCCAAAGATCTTGGGTCCTTTCGATATTTTGGCATATTGGATTAACTTTTGATTAAAATTTGATATACTGATGTATATGTCAGAGTTACAGATCAAATTCACATTTCATGGGATTCTGTTACTGTTTCTGACTGAATTATGGTCTTTTGTTGAAAATTCTGTTTTCCGGAATTATTTGAAATTTTTGATTTGAAATTTGGTACACTTCTTTATATAGCAAAGTTACTGATGATTATATTATTTTGTAGGATTAAGATAATTTTGTACTGAATAATGGCCATTTGTTAACTTTAAATCGATGAATATTATTTTTTCCAGGATTATTTTAGGTTAAACTTTTAGGGATTTGATTGAAATTAAATACAATGTTCTATATAGCAGAGTTAAAGATCATTATCGTGTTTCGTGGGATTTCGTTATATTTTTATTGAATTATTTTCTTTGTTTTTCTCTGCCTTTTGAAAAAAAAGCAGGGGACTATGCCTTTTGAAAAAAAAGCAGGGGACTATTAAAATGGGTCTGGCCGTTTGTCTGTCCGTCACTTTTTGGGACGCAATAACTCTCCTTCTAACTGAGGTAGAATGTTCAAACTTGGTGTAGGTGTTTATTAGTTGTATGCCTTCTTCGAAAGGCCGGGGACTATTAAATGGGTTTGTCCGTCTGTCTGTCTGTCAGTCTGTCTGTCTGTCCGTCCGCCTGTCTGTCACACTTTGTGGGACACAGTAACTCTCCTTCTAATTGAGCTAGAATGTTCAAACTTGGTGTGGGTGTTTATTAGGTAAATGCCTTGATAGACTTTGAAGATGAGCATTTTCTGCTTAGGGTAAGCAGAGATAAGCAATCTGATTGGTTGATGCTTTGGGGCTTGATAACTTTGGTTTTAATGAAACTCTGAGTATAGATTATATCATTACCTTGACTAAGTTCGATAAGAATTTTCTGCTTAGGCTAAGGAGCGATAAGTAATTTGATTGGTCAAGACTCTGGAACATAACGGCTCTGCTTTTAATTAAGGTAGAATGTTTAAACTTGATGTAGATGTTCATTAGGTAAATGTCTTGACTGAGTTCAATGATTAACATTTCGAGCTAAAGCTAAGCAGAGCTAAGAAATTTCATAGGTTGATCTGGGACAAGATAAATTTGATTCTATCTGATAGAGAGTGATGGAACTTAGTGTGTAGTTGGTGATCAGTTTGATCGCTTGATACTTTTGAAAAAAATAAATGTGCGAATAATTAATATGTGTCGTCTATTTATTTTGGGATTACGGCGGGGGACATCAGCCTCACTGTTGGCTTGTCTATTTTAAAGAGAGAGTGATAATAATAATGTATATTTATAAAGTGCATATATCCATCCATAAATGCATGCTCAAAGCGCTAACATAATATACACTGTAAATAATTCACTATTCAACTGTCTTGGTCATTAATGGTCATATTCACGTTGAAATAAATACATTTTTAATCTAATTTTAAACGATTCCATTGAAGGAGCAGATTTAACACTAAGTGGCAGGGGATTCCAGAGATTAGGAGCACTGACTTTGAATGATTTGTATCCGAATGGTTAAAGGTTATATTTAGGAACTACAAGCATTTTTTGGTCTTGGGATTGTAGGTTTCGTTGAGGATTGTGCACCTGGATTAGTTCAGATAAATATTTTGCACTGGAACCGTTTAGACATCTATATACACAACATAGAATCTTGTAGTTGATTCGTAAGTGAATAGGCAGCCAATGCAGGTCTTTCAGAAGGGGTGCAGTATGCGTTCGTTTTGAACAGCGGTGAATTATCCTGGCTGCTGTATTTTGTATTTTTTGCAGTTTTTTTTAGCAAGGTTTGATTTAGACCACTCAGAAGACTGTTGCAGTAGTCCAACCTGGAGAATACTAGCGACCGAACCAATGTATGAGTCGAATCCTTCGTTAATAGATGTCTGATGTTGCCCATGGTTCGTAGGTGAAAATAGCTTATCTTACATAAGTAATTGACATGTTTTTCCATTGTCAGATGTGAATCCAGAAAGACATCAAGATTTTTCACACTATCTTGTACTTTTATGACGGAATCAGCAATGTTCACTGTTGGCGAACCAATTTTCTGGATGTTATTCCTGGTACCAACAATCATCACCTCTGTCTTGTCGTCATTTAGTTTTAGCATGTTTGACATCATCCACGATTTTATCTCCTTAGTACAAGACATTGTACTTATAAAGGCATTACTCCATTGATAATCTGTGTATCATCCGCGTAAGAGTGGTGTGAGAGATTATGGTTACTGATGACGGAAGCAACATGGTTGGTGTATAGAACAAACAGGACTTGACCTAACACCGATCCTTGTGGTACGCCACAATTTAATTGGATCCTACCTGACAACACGTTGAAAATTTGTACAGACTGTGTGCGGCCTTCAAGATATGAATTAAACCACGCCAGGGGCGAGCCTGTGTTACCACATATTGTTGATAAATTTTCTAGTAGCCTTTGGTGATCAATCGTGACACAAGGTTACCACTATCCACAGCACATCGAAGATCAATTACGACTCGTAACAAGGCAGATTCAGTGCTGTGATTTTGGCGGTAAGCAGATTGGTAGTCCTCCAAAGGGGAATTTGCAGCAAGATGATCTTTAAGCCGAGCATTGACAGCCTTTTCCAGGACTTTTGACAGAAATAAAAGATTTGAGACCGGACAATAGTTTTTCAGTTCGTTTTCATCTAAATTGTCTTTCTTGAGAAGTGGGCGAACCACGGCTGATTTGATGTTATCTGGAAACACACCTGTCGCTAAAGTGGTATTAACCAATAAAGTAAAAAATGGAATGAGCTGGTCTAGGAGTTTGAACACAATTGAAGTAGGTATAGGATCAGACAGGCAGGTTGTGGATTTCGATGATTTAACAAGATCATGGATCTCATTCTCACTGAAAGGCGTAAAGTTTAATAATTGTTGTCCATTGAAGATATCAGAAGTACCATCGTAGGGTGAAAGATTGCTTGCAATTAATCCATTGCAAATCTTCAATTTTGTCAACGAAAAACTTATTAAATTTCTCAGCTAAGGGAGGAAGGTTTTCTATATTGGGCAATTTGGCTTCAGATTTGGTACCTAAGAGAGATTTAAGGAATCTATGAGTCTTGCGAGGGTCCTTCCTGCAATCATTTTAGTACGAGTGATAATATTGTCGTTTGGCTTTCTTAATCACTTTATGTGTGCAGCATTTTGCCTGACAATATATTTGTCGGTGTACTTCAATTTTATTCTTATGCCATCGTCTTTCAGCCCTTCGATAATGATGTTTTGACTGATTGACTTCCTCGTTATACCATGGCAAAGAGTTGCGTATTATTACAGATTTAGTTACGGCCAGGGCATGCTTATCAAGAAGATTAGTAAGAATTTGGTTGTAAAGGTCAACTTGAGTGTTTACATCGTTGGTTTGAATAAGTTCAAGTTGAGAATCTGATAAGTCTGTTCTGAAGACATCCCAGTCAATGGCTTTAAGGTTTCTAAATATTACAGTTTTTCTGGCATTACGAGGTTTAGACAGATTAAGATCAACAGCAATGTGGTAGTGATCAGATATTTGTGACCGGCCGCAGCTAAATGAGTCGGAATGCAGCGAATCAATAATGAGATAAGATACAGATTTAGTTGCGGCCAGGGCATGCTTATCAGGAAGATTAGTAAGAGTTTGGTTGTAAAGGTCAACTTGAGTGTTTACATCGTTGGTTTGAATAAGTTCAAGTTGAGAATCTGATAAGTCTGTTCTGAAGACATCCCAGTCAATGGCTTTAAGGTTTCTAAATATTACAGTTTTTCTGGCATTACGAGGTTTAGACAGATTAAGATCAACAGCAATGTGGTAGTGATCAGATATTTGTGACCGGCCGCAGCTAAATGATTCGGAATGCGCGCGAATCAATAATGAGATAAAGACAAAATAAGTGAAAATATTGATTTTGATCGAAATCTATCGACACAAAAGATCAAAATAGCAATAAAACATTTTAAAACACCTGTATTTGAACGTTTTGTAAGAGTACCGTATTCTTAAATCTGTCCTATTTCTTAAAATTCTTGACGAAATTAGTTATTGGTCTTTGCTCGAAGCGGGACGACCGTTCATTCCTCTTGCATAATAATTGACATCGTTGTAAAGCGGAGCATCTCTAGTTTACAAATATGATCAAAATATTGTCGATGAATTGATTTTGAACGGATACAATCGAGTGTTACCCCCCTCCAAAAAAAAATATAAATAAACTCCGCCTGCTGTCTACACAACTCGTTTGCTGATTGACCCAGACACCGCGTGCAAGACAATATCGATAAATATTTGGTTTTGGCGATAATGTTTTTGGGTAACTTCATGCGATTCACTCTGATAAGTGGCAGAAAAAAAAATTAATTCTGATCGTATATAGATTGCCGTTGAGTGTTAATCGAAACCACGTGGCTGATGATGTAAATTAATCGACAAGCGGGTGTGTCATTGAGTAATACTCATGGGTCAATGATAAAGCCGTCAACAACTCATTATTTACTCCGAATAATTAATCCAAGTGGTGATTATTTGATATCTCAAATAATCTATAGGCCTTAAATGGAAATAAACAAAATGGCCAATAATTTTTTTTTCGAAGAGAATTTTATTGATAGCTGAATTCCGTTTACTGTCGCTTCTTCATACGGCATGCAAAGTAAGGAATGCATCTGGGATATTATTGTTTAAAATTCTCTTATCACCATGGGTCGAAAAAATGAGAACGATCAACGAGCCTAATTGCAACGATTCTCGAGTCTGCCATTGAGTATCCTCTGAATAATGTTGATATTGACATCAAAGTCAAATGCACGAAATTGAACGTAAGCATTTCTTGACTATGAAATTGACATTTCTATACGGACTCATATTTTGATAACTTCACGGTACCTGAAAATAATAATAGACCTATCGTACGTGCAAAATCTTATTTTAATTCACGTGTTAAATGAACACGCGTACAGCTGTGGCGGTGGTATGAGATCTAGCAACATGAATAAACGAATAGGATGGCGGTGTCATAGCAGCTATGAAATTTTCATCACCGGTTGGTCGTAGCCAAGATTCAGTGATAACGAAAATATCGTGATTGAAATCAATTAACAGATCAAAGATTTCGGTTGTTTTATTTCGGGAAGATTGCGTGCGTATTCCCAAGGCCAATTGAGAAAGGTTTGGATTTAAATGGAAGAGTTTGTTTTTTTGATTCACTTTTGTCTGACAATTTTGTCTTATTTATTTTGTGACGTTTCTTCGTTCCAGATGCGCAACCTCGTCTGGTTTTCTTGTATATTTTAATTTTGTCTTCAGATACTGTATACCTTTCCAGAAACCTTTTCTGTTTTGGTGAAAGTATGTTACTTGTGCAGTTTGATTTTGAAAGGAGTTAATCTGTAGAGTATTTTATAACACTATGATTAGCTACTGAAACAGTAGTAAACATAATTATGACCCAACAAAAGGTTAATGAAAACAGTTCAGTTTGTGGTGTAGAAAAGTTAATAACATGCTTCAGTGGTCACTATTTGAAACAAGTGAAAAAAATATATTCTTCAAATTCTCCCAAAATATCCAATAGTTCAGCATGAATAAGGTATCAATGTGTACACACACACATGGCACGGATGAATATCTAATCTATACTAATATTTGTGACTGTCCTGTGTCTGTCTGTCTGTCTGTCTGTCTGTTTGTCTGTCTGTTCGGGGTTGGCGGCTACACTAGGTCTGCCCCGAGTCTGAAATTTGGGGTAGAAGGGTAGCTCGGACCGGGGAGTAACATAGGCCAGGTGGCGTTAGTCTACCACTTCCGGTTTCGGGTTATGACCCCCGAGCGAAGCCGGGCATTCTTCTAATAATTCTATAAATTAAACCACATAAAACAATGTAAACAGTGAAATATGACAGAGCACATACTAGGGTAGCCACTAGCCACTCAGAGTAGCGCTCACTATTGATGAAACTTGATGTATACTTTTTTTACATCAATGCCTTGACTAAGTGTGATAATGAGCATTTTCTGCTCAGGATAAGCAGAGCGATAAGTAATTCGATTGGTCAAGACTTTGGATCACAATAACTCTCCTTCTAATTGAGGTAGAATGTTCAAACTTGGTGTAAATGTTCATTTGATTGATACTTTGGTACACGAAAACTTTGGTTCTAATTAAGTGAGAGCGATGAAACTTGGTGTATAGTTCCATCACATCAATACCTTGACTTAAGCAGTGGACACATTAGCCGAATCATTCGGCCGAATCAATCGGCGCCGAATTTTATTCGGCCGAATGGGTGGACACACTAGCCGAATGCTTCGCCCGATTCACCAGTCGATTGCATCACCTTTCACATCACATGATTAAATATGACATACCATATCGCATACCAACTCATTAACCGAAGGAAATCATGTTTCATGCATGACTGTGTCACATGCAATGACGCACTAGCAATTTGTTTTTGCAAAGTGGCGTCTAAGCTAATTTTGTTGATTAAGAGGAATATTGAGTACGATAAGCCAAGAAATACTTGCCACAACACAGGAGATGAAAATATGTATGCAAAATGTTTCAAAATGTTTTATAGGGTTTCACAATTTTAGTGTCGTAAAATGAACTATATCATTATACCCTCATGTTTGCAATCGTTGGAAATTTTGACTAACGTCAAATTGAAGTTAATTGTAATGAAGTTAATGAAACAGGTTCATAAAAGACAATACACATCTTTAATATATCAGTCTCGGTTACTTAAAATTTAATAAAATCCATGAAAAACTATAACCTGCACTGTTTTCAAATATTCCTTACTTTTAAATTTGAATTTCCTCTGGGTCTTCCTGCTTCCTAACACTGCTAAAAAACAAAAAAAAAACAACCTACGAGCAAGTGATTTATTGAAGTAAAACTGAGGGAACTGCAGTGACTCAGTGATAAGCCACTAACCAGGAGATTCTGTGTTAGAACCTGGTGTTGTTTTTCAATATTGTTTCCCCTTCGTCTAGTTGTTCCTATGCGACATGTGTGCACGTAAAAGAACCCTTGACAGTTGGAATTTGAAATAAGAGTAGACTATAGTGCCCTCCTATTCATTCTATTCTACTGATAATAAAAGTGTAACTGTAAACCATACATTATTAGAGAAAAATAATTTGGAATTTCTTATTTTGTTTGACTTTGATCAACACAAAACACTGAATTTCAATTGTATAAAGCAGTAAGTTAAAGAAATGTATATTTATATAGAAGTTTTCAAATCATGGTGGTCTATAAATAAACCTCTTAACTTAGAGTTGCCATTTATTATGTCAGCCTGTATTAATTTATTATTTCATATGAACTTCTTGACACACCCTTGGTGAGAATGACCTTGTGACCATGACCATATTATGTTCCTAACAACTGTAAATTTGTCTTTAACTGAAATTTCTATGTCATAATTTGAGCATGGTCTTAATTGCCATAAGAATTAAGGCTTTCAGTCAGAATTTTGTTTAGCTGTGCCAACCAACTGAGAAAGAGGACCGAGTAAGAAAAGGGTGTTTGGATCATGCTCACACCCTTTCATCCCATCATCTTTAAAGTCTTGCACAAAAAGTGCTAATTTGGTTTTCTTTTACTAATCACTACACATATATTTTTTAAGGGTTTAAGAGAGACGACAGATTGCTCTGTGTATATTTGATGTTATATATTATTGTTGTATGGGGAGTATTTTACTGGCAATATATACAAGCCAATATGTGTTATGAAGATGCATTTACAAGTAGAGTCTTCAATACCATGAGATTATGTGCCAAGGGAAGAAATATGTTAAAATGCTCTTTCTATTCAATCTTGTAGTATAGGTTTTTTTTTAGGTGTGAGTCATTAATTAGATTGACAAAATCAAAGGTTTATTTTTTCATAACTGCCATTTTATCAGGTGCTTATTGTAAATCAATGTTATCTGTCTTACACTTTTACAAATTGCTTTTCTGAAACAAGAAAAAATATATTCACTCAGCTTTTAGCTTTGATAAAAAAATTGATTGTTCTCATCTGCATTGATAAAAGAGTTTTATTAGAGTAGCTGACTAGGATTTCTCGATCAACCCAGTTAATCTGATTGCAATAAATGGCTGTTGGCCTGCAGTTATTGCTATTGGCTCTGAAATTGTTATTTCCAATTGAATTGAAGGAATCGTTTGAGTAATATGGATTCGTTTACATTTAAATTTGAGCCCGAAATTTCTTTGAAATGTGGTTATATATTGTTGTTACCGCTGTTCATTGTCCACAAAGTACTGTCAGTTATGTCCCTTGAACAATTTGAAAAAAAATTGTGGAACCTCTAGTGCAGGAGTATCAAACAGATCCAACCCGCCAAGAGCTTAAATGTGACCCTGTGTCGATATTCTTAGAAACTAGCGATGGAAATCATTTATTATTGTTTTACAGTTTCAGTAAATCTCTGACTTCTGTACTGTATGTCATAGATATCTAAGTTGTGTGTAGTACAAGAGAATGTTGTGTTCAATATTATATCTTGGCAATTAGGAAACCAGTCTAAACAATTACCTGTCAAGGATGTTTCGCTTTGTTTTTAGAATTCAATAAAGTTCAAGGATGTTTAGTTTTGTTTTTAGAATTTTTGTATATCTCTGGCATACATGATCATACTTGATCTAAAATTTTAGTTCATGATTATTTTTTTAAAGATTTCCAATCACTTGAACAGCTGAAGTAAGGTTACTTCTGATTATTACTCTTTAGTGTCTTGTAAATGCTCCCATACAAAATAAAAAGTATGCAATAACCTATGTGAACTGCTTGGACGTGGGCGTATGTTACATTGCCCAGCAATCTATATTGAAATGTTTTTTACATCTTTGTTTTAAAATCAATTTTGTATTTTTTCCAGCTAAAACTTTTTTACCTCTTAAAATATGGAGAAAACCACAGACAAACATAACAGTAATGGTGAATGGGTCTACCATTATTGATTGTGTTGTTAGCAGTCAACCACTTCCACAAGTTAGATGGACATGGAACGGTAATTAACTAATCATCTTTTGACAATTCTCCTACTAAAAACAGAAAGCAAAAAATTATCTCTCAATAAAATAATATCAAACATGTTTATCTCCTTAACTACAGGGAAGTCGATGAGCAGTGAGTAAGACGTTGGTTCACTAACCTGGAGGATTTTTTCCGGCATGGTTCCCCCTTGTCAGTGGTGCAGGACAGAGGGCCTGGCAAGGGACAACATGTAGTTGTTTAGGGATGGAAAACTGTGTACATTGGCATGTGCATAAAAGATCCTTGATCATTTGGAATTTGATATAAGAGTAGGCCATAACGCAGCTCTTCAGACAAAATTTCCCTCATAGCACACTGTATAGTGTATACCTGTCTTCATTAGCTCAGTGTGAGAAGAACAGTAGGATGTTAAAACCCCATTTCACTTCAAACCTGTGCCACAAGCCATGCTTACAGTTTTTATTGCTCTGTTGGCAAGCAGGTACTATTTACTAGCTCACATGCTATGAAACACCATCTCCCATTGGCATAAACTGATAAATGATGAAAACTGACCAACGAGGCAGGCTGCTCTTACAAACAAAGCATTTGTTGATAGTTTAATGATGGGACTTCCCAAATTGGATGTGTATTTTGTTAACAGCCAGCCAATCTATTAACAATTGTCATAGAATGGATAAATATGAAAGAATTTTATAGGAAATAAATCAGTTTGTTTTCTTTTATATTTATACCGTATATGGCATTTATTGTCATTACCATTTCTTGAATAAGTTTAGATATTTTAAGATCTTATGCTTAAAAAACCTGTAGACAACAATTTGTTATGCGGATGGGACGGAAAACCGAGGTCCCATGTACACATTGACGTGCACGTAAAAGATCCCTTGACAGTTGGAATTCAATATAAGAGCACACTGTATGGCGAATGACTATCTTCATTAGCCCAGTTCGGGGCAGAACAGTAGGATGTTAAACCCCATTTCATTTCATTAGAATTTGTTATTTTTGAATTTTAATGACTATTAGCAAAGTTATCATTGTATTCACAGTTTTTGTAGAAAAACTGTGTGCAAGATTTGATGCAGCAGTTTGTGGCAGGGTTTTTTGGAACCTTATCAATACTTGGTCAGTCCCTAAAATAGTATTTGTGTGTATTTTTTATTTTGATTTATATTTTTTTGTTAGAAGTGTATATTCAATCGGTTTGTTACCTGACCAACTTAATCCCAAAAAACAGATCTGATTTCTGATTGGTAAATTGAGCCCTTATCGGCAATCATGTTCACTAGGGCTTTATAGACATTTTTTTTTTTTAATATCATTGTTATTGTCGCAGCTATATGTAGTGCCTAAAGAAAATTTAGACTCGCTACTTTAAGTGTTTGGTATAGGGTGAGGAGAAATGATAATTCAAGAAGGTTTATAATATAACTATAATCCCACGAATGACATCACATGAACAACATCATAAGCATCAGAAACAAAAACAACATGCCCTGAAATAACAAAAATACATTCCATACTAAACTGTAATGATAAAATTCAATGTTACAATTTTGATCACATTGCAGTAAACCCAATGATTGACGTCCATCTTTGGATAAAGACTAAATTATTTCATAAAATCATAATATAGAATCATTTATTCTACATACTTTGTCTCAAAACCAAGTCACATACCATGCATTCATGTATTTTAAAGTTAAATGTAATGTAAATGTCTTACCAGTTTGTGGAAATGAGCTGTATGAATCAGGAACAATGAACCAGTCATCCAACCAGAAAATGAAGAGTGAAAGAAAATACTGATTCATATATTTTGATAAAATGTGCCGCCACCCAGATAAGCCAATCAGATTACAACAAATCATATGACCTGATAAACAACCTCAAAGTGAAATGTACAACAATACCTTCTAGAACAAAAGTAACTCCTCAGTATTTTAAAGTAAGGACACAAAGAATAAATTCCATCAAACATAAGAATCAAATCCTAGTTCCCACAAAACCAAGACCAAAACTTCAACAGTATAACTACAATAGAAAAGTATATACACCACAACCCATAAAACCCTTTTTTTTACGCCCACATTGAAATGTGGTTGTAAATTTGTTGCCCCCGTTCGTCCGTCCAGCAGTCCTGCGTCCACGCTCTAGAGGCTAAAGTTAATATCCGATTGACTTTAAATTTATCACAGTGTTTAAGGTTGTGAGAAGAAGAAACCCAGTGATTTTCAATGATTTCCGATAATTACTACCAGAGTTGTGACCCTTGATCAGTTTGAAAAATCTTGTGGATGCTCTAGAGGCTTAAGTTAATATCCAATTAACTTTAAATTTATACACTATACACAGTGTTTAAGGTCGTGAGACGAAGAAGCCCAGTGATTTTCATTGATTTACGATAATTACTGCCAGAGTTATGGCCCTTGATCACTTTGAAAAATCTTGTGGATGCTCTAGAGACCAAAGTTATCATCCCATTAACTTTAGATAAACAGAGTTTCAGGTCTTGAGACGAAAAAGGATATAGATTTTCAATGAATTTTGATAACTTGAACAGCTAAATTCATGATATTAAATGTTTTGTATATAAAACGTTAGCGTGGGGCAGAACCAAACGCCAAACAAATTCTAATGATTTTCTGATAATTACTTAATGAGTTGTTACTCTTAATCAGATTTTAGTGTATTATAAATGTTTCATTACAGACAATAGAAAAAATATGCGACAACTCTTGTTGACTGCTCGGACGACTTAGCTGCTCTGTGCGTATGTTTCGTTGCCTGGCAACCTATCTTTGATTTTTTAACTATTTAAAATTCCATTAATTAAATAACAAGATCAAACAACGAAACTGACAAACTGAAAAGTATCAAATTATACCCTGCTACATAATTTTATCAAAAGTATATTCAAACAAGTGTGAATTGTTCTCTTCATCATTTCACATAGCTTGTTTTATAATGGGTTTCAGGACAACAGATACCACAAAGGGCAGCTATTTTATCAGACGGCAGTTTATCATTATCTCAGATATCCACAAAAATGGCTGGTAACTACGAGTGTCTTGCTAAAGTTGCTGGTCATGATGACAAATACACCTTACTAGGAGTAACAGAGCTGTTTGTTGAAGTAATAGGTATTCATTTTCTATATTTGATTTTTGTAATTCTTTTTGTCTGTTTTTTTGCCCTTGTTCATTTTCGACTTGTTCTTCTGTGCCATTTGAAAGATTTCAATCGCATGTACATCTGGATTTTCCTGTGTGATTCCCCCTTGTCAGTAGTGAAGGACAGAGGGCATGGCAAGGAACAGCGCATAGTTGTTCGGATGGGATAACACTGATGTAACGTGTACCCATTGGCGTACACATTACAGAACCCTTTGCAGTTACAAGGCCATAACGCTGTTTTCCGGGCAAGCAAATTTCGAACAAATCTGGTACATACCAGTAAGATATTTGGCTTGTAAAGTTGCCAGACATATGTAGGCATATATAGACAAGACCGAGAAATATATTCATGGCCTAATCCAACGCACTGATGGCTGAGTGAGCCAATATTGACTCTTGTTTTTTGTTACTTGATATATTATGTTAATATCAAATGATTATGTATACTACGAATCCAATCAAAACCATTTAACCCTTATGCAAACATGTCACACGAAAAACCTTGTCGGCAACAAAGGGTAATCGAAGATCCCAAAAATTAATAGGTTTTTCGATGCATAATTTTATTCAAATATGATCAAACTAGAGCTTCATATAAAGACTGAAGAATAATCAATCATATGAATTATAAAGTATTTTTGAAACCATCAAAATATGCAAACAACTTTTGTCATTTCCATGTAGAATAGTCTTTTGTCGGGCTTAATAGAGTCCCTAGATTTGTTTGCAGATCTAGATTACTAGAATGATCAACACAAAATCATCAGTAAGAAAGTTTCCAAATACAAAGCTTGCACAGAGCGCAGCACAGATTAGGCAAGATATTTAAAGGGGAGAGGTCCACAAAGACCCCTTGTTTCCGATAATATGATACTTTTATTTTCTTGTCAAATGGTGAATGTTGCCACTGCCTCACTTCCGTTCTATTTGCAGCATTATACCCGACTTTAAATAGCTGACAATGTATACAATTCTCACTAAACAATTATGAACCAGTTCCCCACAAATGTTAAGGATATGGTCGTGGGGTCACAAAATACCCCTTGTATCCGCACAAGGGTTCAACAAACCAAAACAAGTAACGCCCAATTCTGTACATTTTATGTTACTCTGAATATATTTTGGGGTATTTTTCAGCACATTATTACCCTGCAATTACATTGGGTCCAGCAAGCTCTGCCCACAAAATAGCCAGACACAATATACTGAAGTGTGAGGTTACAGGTTATCCTAAACCACGGGTTACATGGCTTAAAAATGGCATGGTCGTACAACCAGACGGACGTCATGAGGTAATATTTTCTTCATCATCTTGAGGGAGCCATGGTGGCTCGCTAACTTGGAGATCTCATATTCAATCCTGGGCTGGGCAAGGAAAGTTCATCTGGATTTTCTGGTGTGTTCCCCGCCTCGACACTGGTGCAGGACAGAGGGCCTGGCAAGGGACAACCTATAATCGTTCAGGTCCTGTGTACACATTGGTCTGCAAGTAAAAGATCCCTGGACAGCTGGAATTCCCTATAAGAGTAGGCTGTAGCACACTGTATGGTTTAGGCGGTTTAGGCCTGTCTTCATTAACCCAGTCAGAGCAGAACAGTAGGATGTTAAGCCCCATCTCATTTCATTTTATTTCATCATCTTGAACCCTTGAAATCATTAGAGTTATGCATATGTGGTACTATTCAATAAGAACTATACGAATTGTCTGATTTTCAGATTTTAGAAGATACAAATTCCTTTAGAATTTTTAACAGTGGTACAGAGGACTCTGGATATTATCAGTGTTTAGTGGAAAATTCTGAAGGTTGGACATCAGCTTTAGCAAGATTAAAGATAGATCAAAATGGTAAGAGATCCGTTATGTCCAATTTTCAAATTACAAAAATATTATATGTATGTAAGAAATATATATGCTAATCTTAGAGTAATTCTTTCTATAAAAAATGATTGTGAGGAAAGGGAATAAAGCACTAGGATTTGAAAATTACAAAGTTATTTGTATATAAGCTTCTCTTAGTTCAAATATATTCCCCAACATCTCCAGAATAAATCTTTCTTTAAAAAATGATTGCAAAGAAAGGGAGTAATGCAGTAGGATTTAAAAAGTTCAAAAAGGTCATATGTATAAGCTTCTCTTAGGTTGAAGTATATTTCCCCGCATCTTCAGAATAAATCTTTCTTTAAGAAATGATTGCAGACAGATAATAAATTGAAAAGTAATTTTGCATCAAATGTAGCACCATGGGTCGTTTGTCAGACGCGGAGAACGGTCAGGGCTAAACCCGGTCCCACATCCGACGTATAACCCATGCATCGTTTCTTACTACATATTCTGGAACAGCCCATGATCGTCTAGTCGTATTGTCTCTGGCCACATTTGTTTCTTATTTTCTTCTCGTAGGACTCCACTTTAAATATTGTGTATTTATTCTGCCATTCAGTTTATGGTTACACACAGTAACAACAATACCACATTTCGTTTCTACATTTTATATTACGCACTGCTACATATAGGTTACAAAGTTACATTCATAATAACGTCATTCTCTCTAACCCGCTCTCATGCAGACTCAGCGAGTCTGCTGATGGAAATTCCTACATCTTCTCCTTACGAGAACTACATGGCCGTCTACCCTAGAACGCACATTCTATTAATTATATATTCTCAGATTCACACCCATTAATTATTCTATTGGCTAATTATGATGTAATTAATCATGTGATAGGTCACTCTTCCCAAATATGAAATGGTAACTTTCCTACCACATGTATTTCAAACAATAATTTATCCTTGAAAAATGCAAATGACCATCATGTTTACTAAACTCTAACTGCGTTAACGTATCTAAACAACCAGCATACTTTCTCTATTTTTGGTTATGAAGTTAGATTCAATAATTTAAAAGATAAAGCTATAGTTCTAGCCATCATATTTCTACATTCTTGTCTTTAGACCCCTTGAAAAATGCAAATGACCATCATGTTTACTAAACTCTAACTGCATTAACGTATCTAAACAACCAGCATACTTTCTCTATTTTTGGTTATGAAGTTAGAATCAATAACTTAAAAGATAAAGCTATAGTTCTAGCCATCATATTTCTACATTCTTGTCTTTAGACCCCATGTCTGGTTATTGTCACAATATTCATAACCAATTTTGAATTTGCGTTTCAGAATTAACTTATACCATAGCTAATATGACAATGGAGAATAATTAATCAAAACCCTAATATTATTTTACATAGATGTTTCAAAGCACAAATTCTTTCCCTCCATATTACTACACAAATCTATCCAGAAGAATAGACAACAGCTAGGTCTGAGGGACCTGATTCCAAAAATCTTTGTGTGAACCAACAATGAAGATGTTTGGATTATTTTGCTTTCAGTTTTTGCTTTTATACACAAACTATTAAATGTCTATAGGCAATATTGATACAATGTATTAAAACTTCATTGATTCTGAAATAGAATGGTTTTATCAATAGGTAATATGTCATCTAAATATGTAAAGTAGATTATGTGATATTTTAGTACATTGTAAATATATTTAGTTATAATTAAAGATATCTCTTCCTGGAAAGTTGTTTTTTCTTTTCACATTTTTTTTGCAAACAGTACAATATGAAAACACCAGCTTTAGGCCCTGTTAATTCAAGAACAGTTCTATGCAGAACACAATTTAATTGACAAAATTAAATAAACATGTTTTTCACATTATTTTTTTTTAACTTAGACTTTTTTATTCTTTGATTATCTTTTAAGAACATAAATTTTTGGCATTTTGAAACTGAAACACAATTAATTTTATTTACTTTGATCACCTGTTTAATGATCATAGAGAAGAATTTAGTACAACAGCTTTTCAATTATTATTAGTATAGCATATTAATACAGCACTCCTTTCACCAATTTGTTTTAGGACATATTACAAATTTATGAATCATTATTATAGACTATAATGGCCCTATATGTAAATTCTTTGATGTAATGGGGGTTTGAGTGGTCAAATGGCATGATTTGGATTACAAGCTTGTGCGTGACAAGGAGTAGAGTTGCCTGGCCAACCTCTTGGATTTTCTCAGGGTCACCCTTTTTCCTCCCACAGCTGAAGACCGAGACCCCTATGTGCAAACAAATTATTGAAATGATAGTCACAAAATGACCTTCATTATGTCGAGTATACCCCATTACATTTAATATTGATTATGTATCTTATATTACAGTTCATGCACCTAAACCACCCAATAAGATATATGGTGAAGGTATATCAGGAACAGAGATATTAGTCAACTGGACTTTAGATGAATCTCAGAAACCTACAGATCTGCCATTACATATTGTAGGTTTCAGTGTTCATTACAAACAGGTTGACAATAAAAGTAAGTATTTGGCATTTTAAAAAGACATTAATTGTTTGTCCAATACAATCAAAGCCATGTAATAACACAAATGTGTATTTTTAAAAAGTGATATCTTAAACCTGGCTCACCATACATGCTACTAAGGGCATTTGGACTTATTATTCTGTCGCTGCTGTCTGTCCGTCCCCAATATCTTTGTGGACACTCAACCATTTTTATCCGATTTTGGCGAAACTTCCTGAATTATGGCCCCTGATAGTATGAAAAATCGTGTTTTTATGCGCCCACATTTTCATGTGAATGTGGACACTCTAGAAGTCATAATTTTGATCCGATTTTGATGGAACATGAAATGCATGTTTATAACCCAAATATCTTGTTTCCTGTCGATATTCGCGTATATCGGATCATAACTTTTGAGTGTATTAAAAATCGCTTTTTTTACATTGTGGACCGGAACTTCCTGGATTATGGCCCCTGATTGTACGAAAATCATGTTTTTAGCTTGTGGACCCTCTAGAGGTCACAATTTTTTATCCAATTTTAAAAAATGTTTAAATTTATATCACCGTTACACCCTGATGATGGTTGTGTTTCAATTTCATGAAAATCGGATCAAAACTGCCTGACAAAATGGCGGCTCCTTGTAAGCAAATAGTGTAAAAGTATGTCATACCAGTCACAATTGTTATCAGATTTTGATGAAACTTAAAATATATGTTTATGTCCCAAAGGTCTCAGGTTTCTTTAGCTATTTGCGTATATTAGACCGTAACTTCCTGGATTATAATCCCTGATTGGATGAAAAATTGTGTTTTTTAGGTTGTAGATTCTCTAGAGGTCACAATTTTTTATCTGATTTTAAAACATTTTAAATATATCACCATTCCACCATAAAGAAGCTTGAATTTGAATTTCGGGAAAATCGAAACGGAACTTTCTGACAAAATGGCCTTTCGATATTTGTGCATTTCAGACCAGAACTGTCTGAATTATGGCCACTGATGGTACGCACAAAATCGCTTTTGTTTTTAGCTAGTTCTCTATCCATCTCTTGCAAAATGTTGGCGTATTTTGCCTGGCAACCGCTGGTTTAATTTAGCAATAATAGGAATCTTGAAGAATTAAATTGACATGTGTAGCCTATCGAAGACACAACTTACAAATTTGAAGCTCATGGAGAAAATTTTACATTGCATTTCTGTGTTTCGAAATTCCAAGGGGTGGAGGTTGTGGGGGTTGGATGGCCGAATGGTTAGCACGTGGACGCTATATCATAAGGTCTGTCATTGAGTCATCTGGCGTTGTTTCAGTTTCCTGCTTGTACGTGACAAGGAGTAGGGTCGCCTGTCCAACCTCGTGGATTTTCTCCGGGTCCTCCGGTTTCCTCCAACTGCTAAAGACCCATCCGCGCAAGCGAATTATATAAATAAAATTCAGATGTTAATAAATCTGTAATTAAAACAGTATTTAATTATGATCTGACTTTCAGACTCGAATGAACTAACAAGAGAAGTCAATGTATTTGTTTTATTTCCTTCCCAATCAACTAAGCTGGTTCACTTAAAACCTAATACCAACTACACCATTTATGTAAAAACATATAATAGGCACGGAGCTAGTGTTGATTCCAAGTCTATCGTTGTTAGTACACTCGGATCAGGTTGGTAATTTTGTTTTAATTATATGTCATTTAAATAGTGAATGAAATAAGATGGGGTTAAACTTGAAGCCGGGTAATGAAGACGGGCATACACCCGTGTGATATGAGAGAATTTGCCCAGACAAATTCCAACTATCAAGGGTCCTTTTATGTTTATGACAATTTTCTTTCCCATCCGAAGAACTAAATCCTGTTCCTTGCCAGACTCTCCGTCCTGCACCACTGACAAGATAAATATTTTAAACCATAGTAAGTTCAGTGCATATTATCTGTATTCAAGTAAAAGAATTCAAAATTGTTTTATTTTCATGTAAATTTTTTCTATCTCATTGAAATGTTTGTGCTAGAGATCAGAAACTTTACAATATTGGCATAGCTTACTGGGTTTCAGACACTATATTTTGACAACTAGATGGCATAATAAATTGGTTTGGAGAGATGGTCTGAGAATATTTGAAGAGTTCCAGTTCTTGAGTTTCTGGCAATTTTATTCCACTCTCTTATACCAGTATTCGACTATAAAAACACTGACCCAAGGCAGTTTTTATCTCAAGAATATCATCTTGGCCATTACATTAGAAGTAATTATATTTAGAAATGTTTTTATCTATTTTAATTCAATTGTAGTGCCTTTGTCATACCCATCTCCTACCATTATTAGTCAAGGAGATGGTGATCTGCTGATAGAGTGGGAAGCCTTAAAAGAATCAGAGAGAGGAGGTATTATATTAGGATATCAGATTTTGTATGGTAAAACATCAGATGATTACATACAGGTTATAAATATATCTGGTCAAAGCAACAGCTACCTCATTACAGGTTAATATAAAATATACATTAGCATTGTAGAAATTAAAATTGTTTTTGATACGCCCACATTTTCATGTGGACGTATTATGCTGTCGCCCCTGTCCGTCCGGCCACAATTTGTTTGTGGACACTCTGCAGGTCACAATTCTTATCCGATTTTGACGAAACTTGAAATATAGGTTTATCTCCAAAAGATCTTGGCTGCTTTCGATATTGGCATGTATCGGATTGAAACTTCATGGATTATGGCCCCTGTTTGTACGAAAAATCATGTTTTTTGCTTGTGGACCCTATAGAGGTCATCATTTTTATCCGATTTAAAAAAACGTATTATTATATCACCGTTACACCCTAAGTGCGACTGAGTTCAAATTTCGTAAAAATCGGCCCAAAATTGACAGACCAAATGGCCACCATTTGTTCTCAAATAGCGTAAAAATATTCGCGCATATTGGATTGTAACTTCCTGAATTTTGGCCCCTGATTGTACAAAAAATTGCGTTTTTAGCTTGTGGACCCTATAGAGGTCATAATTTTTATCCGATTTAAAAAATCGTATTACTATATAACCGTTACACCGTAAGGATGACTGAGTTCAAATTTCGTGAAAATCGTCCCAAAACTGACAGACAAAATGACTGCCCCTCGTTCTCAAATAGTGTAAAAATATGGTATATCAAGGTTGTGGACCCTATAGAGGTCACAATTTTTATCTGATTTTGTTGAAACTTGAAATGTAAGTTTATAACGCAAAGATCTTGGTTCCTTTCGATATTCGCACATATCGGACCGTAACTTCCTGAATTATGGCCCGTGATTGTACGAAAAATCGCGTTTTTAGCTTATGGACCCTAAAGAGGTCATAATTTTTATCCGATTTAAAAAAACGTATTATTATCATCGTTACACCCTAAGGACGACTGAGTTCGAATTTCGTGAAAATCGGCCCAAAATTGACAGACAAAATGGCCGCCGTTTGTTCTCAAATAGCGTAAAAATATGGTATATCAAGGTTGTGGACCCTATAGAGGCCACAATTTTTATCCAATTTTGTTGAAACTTGAAATGTAAGTTTATAACCCAAAGATCTTGGATCCTTTCGATATTCGCGCATATTGGATTGTAACTTCCTGAATTATGGCCCCTGATTGTACGAAAAATCGCGGTTTTAGCTTGTGGACCCTATAGAGGTCATCATTTTTATCCGATTTAAAAAAACGTATTATTATATCACCGTTACACCCTAAGTGCGACTGAGTTCAAATTTCGTAAAAATCGGCCCAAAATTGACAGACCAAATGGCCACCGTTTGTTCTCAAATAGCGTAAAAATATTCGCACATATTGGATTGTAACTTCCTGAATTATGGCCCCTGATTGTACAAAAAATCGCGTTTTTAGCTTGTGGACCCTATAGAGGTCATAATTTTTATCCGATTTAAAAAAACGTATTATTATCATCATTACACCCTAAGGACGACTGAGTTCGAATTTCGTGAAAATCGGCCCAAAATTGACAGACAAAATGGCCGCCGTTTGTTCTCAAATAGCGTAAAAATATGGTATATCAAGGTTGTGGACCCTATAGAGGCCACAATTTTTATCCAATTTTGTTGAAACTTGAAATGTAAGTTTATAACCCAAAGATCTTGGATCCTTTCGATATTCGCGCACATTGGATTGTAACTTCCTGAATTATGGCCCCTGATTGTACGAAAAATCGCGGTTTTAGCTTGTGGACCCTATAGAGGTCATCATTTTTATCCGATTTAAAAAAACGTATTATTATATCACCGTTACACCCTAAGTGCGACTGAGTTCAAATTTCGTAAAAATCGGCCCAAAATTGACAGACCAAATGGCCACCGTTTGTTCTCAAATAGCGTAAAAATATTCGCGCATATTGGATTGTAACTTCCTGAATTATGGCCCCTGATTGTACAAAAAATCGCGTTTTTTAGCTTGTGGACCCTATAGAGGTCATAATTTTTATCCGATTTAAAAAATCGTATTACTATATAACCGTTACACCGTAAGGATGACTGAGTTCGAATTTCGTGAAAATCGTCCCAAAACTGACAGACAAAATGGCTGCCCCTCGTTCTCAAATAGCGTAAAAATATGGTATATCAAGGTTGTGGACCCTATAGAGGTCACAATTTTTATCCGATTTTCTTGAAATTTGAAATGTAAGTATATAACCCAAAGATCTCGATTCCTTTCGATATTTGCGCATATCGAATTGTAATTTCCTGAATTATGGCCCTTGATTGTAGGAAAAATCACTTTCTTTTTAGCTTGATCTCTATCCATCTCTCGAAAATGTGGGCGTATCCTGCCTGACAGCCGCTGGTTATACAACCATATTGAACTTTTTCCCACAAATTCTAGTGAACACACTACATTCCACCAATCCTAGTGAACACATATGGGTCATTCCATGTCCAGGTGACTAAATTTCGGAAAGTTGGGAACATGACCCCCTCCAATAAAATTATAAAAAATATATGTTATAGTATACGGCCTTAAGCTAACAAATCCAAAATTATACCTCTCTAGGTCCAAAATGCGCTGAGATATGGCCATTTGAAATTACAGTGTGCAATGAGGTAAATTTTGCCCAGACAGTTGCACTATGGCCTACTTTTATTTCAAATTCAAACTATCAAGGTTTCTTGTACACAGGACCTCGTTTTTCGTCCCGTCTGAATGACTACATGTTGTCCCTTACCAGTCCCCCCTGTCCTGCAGAACACTCACACATGGGAATCACGATGGAAAATGTTGAGGTGTGATGATTGGTATCCAGGATCTGAGTTAAATCTTCTAATATAATTTTCAGGTTTAGAACCAGGTGAAGAGTACCGTTTGAGAATGTTAGCAGGAACAGAGAAAGGCTTCCCAGATTTTACTGATGGAGAGTGGCCATGGATTTACCATAAAGTCCCTGAAACGTCCTACAGAAGTGAGTACAATCTAAGAATAATGAACTTTTTATACCTGTATGTGTCGCAACTTTTGTTTTATTTGCTAGTCTGACAGAAAAGCCTTGGAAAACACGTGTTACAAGGAGTGACAGATTGCTTTCACAGATGTTCATCCACAATGTTTATTTTTTTCAGATTCTATATTTCCGACGGTTAACATCACAGTTATCAACAGCACTACTGTTCATTTCTCCTGGAGATACCACGGACCTATTGAACTATCTGAACAAATCATTTTCCTGAGAAATTTAATCCAAATGAAAGTGGAAAATGTTATCAACTATCAGCCTACCTCAAGACAAATTACTCTTTCAGATCTAGGTATATAGACCATATTGTATATTACACCAGGGCTTCATTATGGGATTCTTAGACTTATGTTACATACCGTTAACTCTGTTATATGGCGAGACCATTTTTAGCCTAGAAGCTTTGTTCATCATCCATTACCAACTTTACATTGCATTATAAATGGGTTTGCCCAGAAGTTGTTGCAAGACACTAAAACTTTGAAAAGTCATCCCCAGAGTGTCTGAGAGGATTGATGTTCATCTTATTATTTTTTAATGAAGTCATTATCTGCACATACAGATGAAGTCTGAGATACTTATTAGACTGATCAGCAAATTACCATTTCTTGATCAATATAAAACATTCCAGTACCACATCTGTCCATTGAAATATAACAAAATTATTTTTCTCTTCAGCTCAAAACACCTTCCATGAGTTTATTCTGGTAGTGAAATCAAAAAGCCTTGCTACAGGTAGTATCTCAAAACTGTTCCACACTTCCACCTCAATGTTATCTCAACCTACATATACCACTCGTCCCGACATCAACATCATCGCATCACTGCTGGCACCAGACCAAATTACACTCACCTGGTCTTATCCTGAAACCAATCAGGATATTATCCTCTTCAGAGTACGATGTGAAACCATTTTTGTTCCCAATGAATGTGAGCGCAAAAACATTAGTTATGTGAAATCGTAAGTATTAGTGATTAGAGATGCCAAAACTACAATGGTAGGATGATGGGGTACTGTGCAGGAATAGATCCCCAATTTACTGTAAATACTACTGTTTAATTATGTAATTTTATCTTGTAATGAGATTCTATGTTCCTGATTATCATGTTGGATAGGATAATCAGAGATATCACTATAAAAGACTGGTTTGCTTTTTGGTATTTAAATGTAAGAAGGTAAAAATGAGTTTGTTTGACCGTGCTATTAAATAATATGTGTAATCTATTTATTTTGGTATTTCGGCGGGGAAATCAGGCTTATTGTTGGCTTGTTTTTTTGTATTAGTTGATGAGATTTACAGGGATATACATGTATTATTATCATTATGTATTGTTTAATGGTCAAGAGCAAGACATTAAGTAATATATTGATATTGTTTAAATTTTTTACACAATGTCTTTAGCTCAAGACCATTAAACAACTTATAATACAGACACTGTCTAATTAAAATGGGTTCGTCTGTCTGTTTGTCCATCACACTTTTTGGGACACAATAACTCTCTTTCTAATTGAGCTAGTATGTTCAAACTTAGTGTAGGTAGGTCAATGCCTTGATGGAGTTCGAAGATGGGCATTTTCGGCTGAGGGTAAGCAGAGATAAGCCATTTGATTGGTTGATGCTTTGGGACACAATAACTTTTGTTCTAATTAAGTGAGAGTGATGAAACTTTGTGTATAGTTTCATTACATCTATACCTTGACTAAGTTCGATAATGAGCATTTTCTACTCTGGGTAAGCAGAGCGATAAGCAATTTGATTGGCCGAGACGTTGGAACACAATAACTCACCTTTTAATTGAGCTAGAATGTTCAAACTTGGTGTAGGTGTTTATTAGGTCAATGCCTTGATGGAGTTTGACGATGAGCATTTTCTGCTTAGGGTAAGCAGAGATAAGCAATTTGATTGGTTGATGCTTTGGGACACGATAACTTAGTTCTATTTTAGTTAGAGTGATAAAACCTGGTGTATAGTTTTATTACATCAATACCTTGACTAAATTCGACAATGAGCATTTTCTGCTCAGGGTAAGCAGAGCGATAAGCAATTTCATTGAACATTTTTGGGATGAAATTGAGAGGAGACTTAATAACGTCGTACGGAGACCAAACCTAGCCGATGGATTGCGCCATGCTTTTCTGAGAGTGTGGATCCAGGTGCCAATGGCGTTCATCAATCGTCTGGTCCACTCCATGTACAGACGCTGCGCTGCTGTTATTAACACTGACGGTGGACACAACAGATACTGATGTATAGACTGTGTCAGACTCTAAACCGCCTCGTAATGTCTTGGAATTGTGATCAATTAATCACTAATGTGTCAACATATTGTTCACAAAAAATTGCTTTGAAGAAAGCTGGGGACTATTAACATGGGTTCGTCTGTCTGTCCGTCCGTCCGTCTGTCTGTCACACTTTTTGGGACACAATAACTCTCTTTCTAATTGAGCTAGAATGTTCAAACTTGGTGTAGGTGTTTATTGGGTCACTGCCTTGATGGAGTACGAAGATGAGCATTTTCTGCTTTGGGTAAGCAGAGATAAGCAATTAGATTGGTGGATGCTTTGGGACATGATAACTTTAGTTCTAATTAATTGAGAGTGATGAAACTTGGTGTATAGTTTCATTACATCAATACCTTGACCAAGTTCGATAATGATCATTTTCTGCTCAGGTTAAGCAGAGTGATAAGCAATTTGATTGGTCGAGACTTTGGAACACAATAACTTATAATTAAGCAACAATGTTCGCAGTTAGTGTAGGTGTTTATTAGGTGAATGCCTTGATGGAGTTCGATGATGAACATTGTCTGCTTAGGGTAAGCAGGGATTAGCAGTTTGATCGTTTGATGCTTTGGGACACGATAACTTAAGTTCTAATTAAGTGAGAGTTAGGACTCTTTTATATAGCTTTATTATATCAATACCTTGACTAAGTTCGATAATGAACATTTTTTTCTGAGGGTAAGCAGAGTATTAAGCAATTTGATTGGTCGAGACTTTGGAACACAATAACTCTCCTTTTAATTGAGGTAGAATGTTCAAAGTTGGCATAGGTGTCGATTAGGCGAATGTTTAAACTTGATGTAGATGTTCATTAGGTGAATGTCTTGACTGAGTTCAATGATTAACATTTCGAGCTGAAGCTAAGCAGAGCTAATCGATTTTATTTGTTGATGGTTTGGGACAAAATAATCTTGACTCTATCTGATAGAGAGTGATGAAATTTAGTGAAAAAAATAAATGTGCGATTAATTAATATGTGTCATCTATTTATTTTGCAATTTTGACAGGGGACATCAGCCTCACTGTTGGCTTGTTATATTTATCATCTACAGGCTGCAATTTTGAATGCATCAGCTTGGAACTTGGCATATGTATCCTGTATAGCCTAAGAGTGGCAACTATTGATTTTGGTGCATGTCCCGACCCCCAGGGTTAGAGCCATGCCCAATTTATGTGTTTAGCGCCCAAAGGCCATGATTCTGAATGGATTATCTTGGAACTTGGTATACTTATTCCTTATATTCCAAGGACGGCAACTATTGATTTTGGTGCATGATTCCCCCACCACCACTTTTGGGTGGTGACACACCCACTTTTTGTTAATATTTTGTCTGTAAATGATATTTAGGCTGCAATTATTAACACATTTGGATCCAATTTTTAATGATCCATCATAGGGTTGTAGGCTACCTATTTATATTGGTCCATGTCCAACCCCCAGGGGCAGAGCCACGCTAAATTTTTGTGTTTTTTGTCTACATGCTGGAATTGAGAATGAATCATCTTGGAACTTGGCACATTTATTCCTGTATCGATAGCAACTATTTATTTTGGTACATGTCCTGACCCCCAGGGGTGTGGTAGCACACCCACTTTTTTTCTGTAAATACTCTACAGGTTGCTATAATTAACAGATTTTGTTCAAATTCAGCATATAATATCAAGCATTTCATTAACAGGTTGGTACCTATTTATATTGTTCCAACTCCAAACCCCAGGGACAGAGCCACGCCCAATTTTTAAATTTATCATCTACATGCGACAATTCTGAATAGATCATCTTGGAACTTTGTATATTTATTCCTTATACTGTAAAAAGTACTGTATCAATGAAAGCAGGAATGTGGACGTATATTGCAGTGATTGTAATCCTCTAGTTATTTTTATTTATTATTATTTTTAGCCACACAAATACTGCTGTTATAAGTAACTTACTGCCATTTACATGGTATAATATATCGGTTAAAGCTGAGAGATCAGATGGTCAAGGTGTATATAGTATACCTACACTAGTACTTACTAGGGAAGGATGTAAGTTTATTTATCTTAATAGGTATTACATTCAAAATATCTGTAGGCCTTTTCCTCCTACATCTTGAAATTGTGGTATTAAAAGGGAAGGGAAGAAGGGATACTAGTTAATCAATCTCAATTTTGACATTCTGGTAAAACAGTGCACAGCGATAAGCAGATGCAAATGAAATGGTGTATTGTGGATGTCATAAATTCTCATATTATGTTACCCAAAGTGAAGTAGTGTGTTACGGATGTCATAAATTCTCATGTTACCTCAACTTGTTATTTATTGTGTTTTTTCGTAATTTGCTTCCATTTACATAAATACGGATGTCATGATATCCCAAGTGAAGTAGTGTATTACTGATGATATAAATTTTCAAATGTTACCTCAACTACTCATAAACATTCATTAAATCAATTTCTTTGTATTTTATGCCTTTACCATTTCCACTTACACCTACTTGTCTCCATTTTAAGAATATGATTTTATTCTTCTAGTGCCCTCTCCACCAGAACATGTTCAAGCTAGAGTTGTTTCCCCTGATGAGGTAGCTCTAGAATGGAGTCGCCCAGCACAACCTAATGGTAACATTAAAGGGCATTATATATCATATAGTTATGATCATTATGATCCAGATAAATGGCCACAAATATATCAAGAAGGTTGGTATAAGTATCAGTATGTTTAATGACTCGGGGAAACTCTTGATGCAATTTTGTTATTTAGTTTGCTGTACAGATTATGTTTTTTTGCTGGGTCTTACATGTACATAAGTTATTTTAGGGTATGATTTAGTAAAAGTAAATGTCATCAGACACACTTTTTTGTATGAAAATATAATTAAAGACTTTCTTGAATATATTGGATAGTAAAATGTTGTTATGTAGTACACACTGCTCACAAGATGGAGATGTAAATTAATGTATGCTGTAGTTTGAATAAATAAAGTTAAATTTCTTTCAGGTAAAATGAATTCAACCCATATTTCTAATCTGACTCAGCCAATGTATTATTTCCTGATACGAGCCTGTACTCTAGCAGGACAAGGTAAACCTTCACGGATCATCAAAGTGTTTATGAAACATGATAGTAAGTAACATCTTTTATTATTGAGGATTATATATTTTTTAAATGATCATCATGATAAGATAATAGGGGGGTTGGATGGCTGAATGGTTAGCGTGCGCGCGCTGTATCATAAAGTCTGTCATTGACTCGACTGGCGTGGTTTCGAATCCCCAGTTATACGTGGCAAGGAGTAGGGTTGCCTGTCCAACCTCGTGGGTTTTCTCCAGGTCCTCTGGTTTCCTCCCACTGCTAAAGACCCCTAAGCACAAGAGAATTATATAGATAAAATTAAACCATATGTTAGTCCCGAAATGACCTGGTTTGTGTCGAGTGGACGTTAAGCCCCATTTCTCTCTCTCTCTGATAAGATAATCATGATTAATATGATTACATTGAAAGCAGATAGTTCATACTATTTTGTTTGAGTGGTATGCTTCCGCCTTTGGAGGAAAAATGGATATTAAATTTTCATTGCTATTCCTAGATATATGAATATTTGAATTGTTATGCAACCATGTCACATGTCTTAATATTAAATAACCAAAAAAAGAAGGTATGTTTATGCTTGTTTAAGCAGAATAAAACATATAATGCTTAAAGCCAATTGGACCACTAAAGTCTATCTGATAGTAATATGTTTTATATTATATAGCTAGAGGATGTCTGTCTGATCAGTCATATGATTTATCTTGTAGAGGAAGTCTGTCTGATCAGTGATATGACTTATCTTGTATAGGAAGTCTGTCTGATCAGTGATATGATTTATCTTGTATAGGAAGTCTATCTGATTAGAAGTATGATTTATTTTATATAGGTAGAGGAAGTCTATCTGATCAACATCTAGGTATAATAGGAGGTGCATCTATTGGTATTACCTGTATATTAATAACTGTTTGTGTTATATATATCAAACAAAGGTAGGTTATAAAGTTTAGAAATAGAAAACTTATAATAAAACTTATGAATCTGTCAATTCAAATGTAATTGAAGTTGATCAAAATCCTATTATATTCTCAAATTGACATTACATAAATATCTGAACAAGTATGGATGATTTTTTTAACTGCACATATATTGATATTTTAGCTTACAAGTTTATAATCTGATACAAAAACTAAATGTAATGGAAGTGTAATTTCCTTTTTATTTGCTTTTGTAAATAATTTACACATAATTCTAATATAACCATAGTGCATAACTTACATGTACATATAAACAATTATGTAAGAGTGGTATATAATATTTCAGACAGCTAAAGAAGAGGTGTATAGCTGCTCAGGTTGCAAATTCAGTGCCATGCCCCCATGGTTGTATGATCCCCCCAGCACTAACCCCTGCGGAACATCTCTCTCAACACCAGAATCACGTTTGTAAAGTGAGCATATTTTACTACTCATTTCTTTGTATAGAAGCTTATTAGATATTGTTTAAAGAATATCATCGGCAACACTTCAGTGGAAGTTGGCACGAAATTTCATGCCATGTTTCTATTGATTGAAACAATATACTCAGTTATAATATAGATATAGATTCTAGCAAACTAAATAAAGTTTGACGCAGTTGTAGAAAAAAATATATATTACAAAAAATTTGTAATCTTGAACTAAAGTTGATTGAACATTTATCCTTATGGTTAAACCTAAGCTTAATCTCTGTCTGAAATCTCAAATTATCCTGATTTTTGACTACTGTAAGTCAGAGTAGATTCTGTTATCATGTGGCGATGGTACGTAGACAGTTAAGAACATCCAATAATTTCCGAATTGTGAATGAAATGTGATTTAACGTCCTACTTTGCTGCACCGAATTGTAAATGAATATTAACGTCGGTATTTTTTATTGGTTTCAGTCGGAAGAGTTGTGGTCATTATTAACACCATCAGATAAAAGTACCATTGATAGTCCATGTTCCAGTAACGATACACAGAGTACAAGTACGGCCACCACAGACTTATATTGTCATGTGACTAGTTGTTGAATATACCTCACACATTTACACCTCAATTAGAACAAAAAAAGCCAAAGATAAATTTGACTGTGAAGATGTTGTTGATAATGACTTAGGTTTATGGTACCATGATCAAGAATAATACCCCGATTTCAGGACAATATATATTTTGCCTTCAACAACTTTTTACCTTTACTTTATTTTTCATTTTTTATTAAGAAAAAATAAGGATGGTAGAGAATGACACCTGCTGCTTTAAGGGAATTATTACAAGGTGCAAAATGATTGCTCAAAAAGCAGACAGATTAAATATTTTTGTAGACATGAAGAAATATATCAGATCTGATGGAATTCAATTGTGTTTGAGGATGTTGTGCTTAAAGCACAATTCAATAACGAGAGTTTATATGTGAAGAATCTTCAGGAAGATGAAGAAAATAATGTGAACATGCGACGTGTGAAAGATGAAAGGGACAGATTTTTTTACATATACCTTAGCAAAGCTGAGTTTTTGCCCGGTGAAATTTTTTATTAGATGTTTTCCAAGAAGATAATATTGTTTTATTGTTTTATTGACTATGTTATTGATCAGCTGTTATTAAGGGGTGCTAAATCCATCTCACAGTCCTTTTTATTTTTCTCGAAATCAAAAACACAAGAGATGCATATCTCATAACCACCGGTGGTATGATATTAATAGGACATAACAGTAACTTAGATCTGTCTCATTTACCATTTATCATTAAGAAAACAAAATGGAATATGGTGTGGATGCCACCATAAGTTTGATTTTTGAAAACTGTACAGTTAAAATCAGGGTTTATTAAATCATCATCATTCTTTTGTCTTCATTTTTTCCATTTATCATCATATGATTGATCTTTATTCATCCATTCTTGGTACAAGGTTATGAATATTCAGTTTTATGTCATCGTCTTAAATCGTAGTTATTTTGTTGCATTATAGAAGTATTTATTATGCTGAATCTTTATTCTATATATTGTCTTTTTTACATTAATTTATAGATAATTTATTCTTAATCCACACACATTGTTATATCTGTAATTACTTGAACAGAACCACTTTTATGTGAATTTTTACCTTACATTTCTTCTTTCAAACTAGTTATTATTTTTTGAGTGAACTATGGTGAACTATGAATTACCTCACACCATTTTGTACAGCAATTTCTCCACACATTTTATGTTTCTGTAAATTACATGACTTCCAAATCTCACGTTCCACTGAATTTTAAAAACAGGAATTTAAAGTTACCATTGTGTACTTAGCCGTTTACGTCATCACTGAATGCCCCTGATTGTTATTTACATGGTTTGGGCTACATTTAATTTTTCATGACTTAAACCACGCTAAATTTTACTCATATTTAATTAACAAAACAAAATCAAAATATCAGTGGTAGATAAAATCTTCCAGGTTGGATTCAAGCAGATCAAAAAGAGGTCCATCAAAAGATTTTACCGAAAATTGTAGGTGGTCTGCGGATGAGGCCTTATGTTGAGAAAATTTTAATTTACTATCTTTGTAAATTCTGAATGGAATTTACCCATTTTTGGGCCAATATTCTATTTGAGATTCAACTGTAGTTTGCAAGGGATTAAAAATCCACAACTGGCGATCATAGAGTTAAGAAAATGAAGATGGTTTGTTATGAAATCCTACCATTCTGTTATAATGTATGCGGCAAGTACAAGCTTGTAAATGCCTGTGATTTTATCAATATATTTATTTTCTGTTATACGTGAATGGTGCCAGCATAATCATTCACTTGGGTCCCTTCACCGAAATTGAGTTCTATACATTTCTTGAAAGCCACAGCTGTAGGCTTTAAAATGCACGAAAATTATTATCCGATTTGTGTCATTCGGACTATTGTTTGTAAAATTATCTGATGTTAAACAGACCAATAATTCCGATTGTTGTAGGGAGGATCTTGATCATGTATGATTCAACACCCCTTATTAACATAAATTTTTGAGGAATAATTAAAAATGATTTAGAATTATGAACGAAAACATTTCAATTCAAACTATTGTTTGGTGATGATGACTGAAAATCATAATCTCACCTCTGACTGCTGTATATAGCCTACAATGCAAAATGAATGAATGAGACTTCCGACTGATTTTGCTGGTACTGGTCACATATTCCTTTTAAATGCAATTCTTTCTCATCTATGATTGCAGACCTTTTTGCCATTTCTGCCTTATCCAAGTCATTTTATATACTTACAATTATTTCTTATGTAGGTATGTGTTTTCTTTGATGCATTTCTAACAGCACAAAAATATAGAAGTTGTACATTTTAAAGTCTATAAAGAAATAGTGCACAGTTTGTCCTATGATTGTTTGTATCTTATGTTTATTTAAAAGGTACTTATATTGAAACATATCATAGGGGTATGTCTATATATAGAATTGTCTAGTATTGTTATATAACTTCTATAGTAATCAAGTGTTACAGTATCAAATACAGGACTTGGAAATATGTGGTGCCTAAAGTGAAATGCGTAAACGTCAATATGTGATAGGTTACCTCCCCTCTTGATTTATACATATTTAGAGAACAATGGATCAAAAAATCTGCTGATTGATTTAATAACATTGGCCATTTCACTTTCTGTTACTCAAGTTTAATACTGGAAACCATAACTTTTATTCATGTATTACAAATTTTAATGCATGTAGTTTATAGCTAAATTAATAAAATCTCCATCGGTTTTAATGTTAAATGTCTCTGGCAGCAAACTATATTTATATTGATAGAGGGCCAGGCCATAACATAAATATCGCAATGCACTTAACAGCAAAGCCACAGTTCCCAACTCATTTTTGTAACACTAGATACATGAAGTTTTGTGTTATTTGTCGTTTTTGTGCCATCTGCCTATAGGTTGTTTTGTTTTGTGGCTTGTATTGAATATAAATAACTGTTAAAACACATATTATAATTTACTTATCTACCTTGTCCACATTATATAGTATGGGTTTTAGATTTCCATTCATACCTCAAAATTCTACACTTTTCTTTGAGTTAATCGGTCAGTATATGAATTCTTGTGGGTATATATATATATGTATGGGAATTACTATACATATCTTGCAAGGCACCATAATTAGGAACAAATTTGTCATTGTTCATGTAATCCAATGATTTTAGCATTTTGTTTGTTTAGTTGTTAATTATTAGGAGTAATTAGTGCTAAAATTAAGAAGTGCTTGTTGATAAAAATTTTCATTTGTTTGATTAAGTTTGTACAATATATGCATATATGTGTTTTACAGCCTGCAAGTAATCTTTCTCTCCTCTTAATACATGATAATACGAAGGCCCATTATTTTCCAAATAAAAAAATAAAAAAATATTAATCCGTTTGAATGAGTTAGTATCTCGTTTGACATTATCTTTACTTAAAACACAATTTCTGCATGTCCCTTCCACGCTTTTGTACAATCGAAATCTTAATTCGTTCAAACGTGATAATTAATTCCTTTAAACGAGATACTAACATGTTCAAACGAGATAGGAACTCGTTCAAACGGGATAATTAATTCGCTCAAACGAGATAATTAATTTGTTCAAACGAGATAATTAATTCATTCAAACAAGATACTTACTCGTTCAAACAAGATAATTAATTCGTTCAAACGAGATACCAATATGTATCAAACAAGATACTAACTCATTCAAAGGGATTAATTTTTTTTTTTTGTTTGGCACTAATAGGCCTTTGTATGAGAATTATTTGAATGAAAGCGGTTCTCTTTATGAAATTTCATAATTATTTACAAACGTATATCATTTTAATTCAGTAGGGCTACATAAACTAATTAAATATATCATGATGAACGAAGAATAATTTGGCATATTTACGGGTAATTTGTTTTTTCTGTTAGCATTACATTACATTACTGGTAAATTAAAATCAATTTATATGGGTATGTCAGTGTCCCGTTTCAAAATGCACACATAAATTAAACATCTTACTTTATACAACTAACTGTATTAAAACCTGTGTGCTGTAACTTTATACATGCCTCGTGAAACAGGTCCTGGATATTTTTTATTGTGGACTCACTGCTGCAAGGGGTATTAACTTAATTTCCCATTTTGTCTGGAATCTTAGTATGCTAATCTTGCTTTCTATCCCCCTCCAGAAAGGGAAGTAACTCTTCTATGACACTCGTCTGACAGGTATGTATGTATTTAGAGATCTTTCAGAGAACTAGAGATTATTATTTGTCTTAAAGCACAAACCTCTTTAGAGGGTGCTGAATTTGGAAGTAAAACCATAAATATGAGTCAGATGTTAAATGTGCACAAATTTTATGAATGAGCTGTTGATATTAGTGTAAAAAAAGTAGTTTGGTCCAGTAATTAATTTCAATTGAATTTAATATATAATGTTTTATCTTCCTTCTATTATTAACTTGTATGTGTATAACTGGTATAACTTTAGTAATTTTAACATACTGTAGGACTGTAAATAAGAAATGACAGTGAGACAGGTATTTACTATATGGCAAGTTACTCGCCAGTTGCATTAGTTTCAATTTATATGCAGTGGTGGACGCAGGAGATTCGTAGTGGTGGTGTCAGTGGTGATTTGTGGCATTTATCTGGACCCGGATATAACATTCATTTCATCAGCTACTGTACCCCAAACAACAAGCACAAAAAAGAATTTTTCATATTGGGAGGGAGGGGGGGGGGGGGTACCCAACTAGATCCACCACTGTATGTAGGATGTATGTAAATACCAAAATAAAGCTTGAAATAATAAAATGGCCCCAAAATTTCATGGTAATAAGATAATGACCATTTTAGGAATAAGTATGTTTCAATGGATTGCATTTATGTCTCTCTGCTTTAGTTAGCAATAATGTCATGGTGCATATACCAACTAGTTTCTTGTTTATATGGATATTTTAATTATATGTACAGTTCCGTAAATGAAGTATTACAAGATTTTTTTTAATTTTCTAGAATCAAAAATTGACCTGGCTATACTTTGATGCTATGGGCTTATCCTCAACTGTGAACCTGGATAACTTACCACAAATTTCAGACTGATCTCCCTTGGGTTAATAAACAAATAGTTGACTTTATTCTATATAAGAAATTTTAATTCTTGTTTAGAATATTATGTAAGTTTTGCAGTTATTTTATTTATTTATTTATTTTTTTGCAGACCTTGGGCTTAATAGCAAATCCATGTGCCGGCACTTAAAATCTTTTTGAAGTCATTTATAGTTTAAAGATGCATTATGTAAGAGTTAATCTGCCTATTGCAGGTCTTTCTTTTGGCCTCAAATTTAATATATAAATTATTACTTAGACAAATATTCATATGACAAACCCATAATCATCTCTATAGACCATCGGATGCTTGTGATTTAGAATAAAAAGGGATGATGGAGACTTTGTTTATTATTGGAACAACAGTGACAATGGAAATCATTCATATCCTTGCCCAGAATAAAGTAATTTGACTGAAATTTTCAATATATTCCTTTTTCATGATCTATTTTTATACGCCCACATTTTCATGTGGACGTATTATGCGGTCGCCCCTGTCCGTCAGGACGTCCGTCCGTCCACAATTGTTTGTGGACTCTCTACAGGTCACAATTCTTATCCGATTTTGACAAAACTTGAAATATAGGTTTATCCCCAAAAGATCTCGACTGCTTTCGATATTGGCATGTATCGGATCAAAACTTCATGGATTATGGCCCCTGATTGTATGAAAAATCACGTTTATAGCTTGTGGACCCTATAGAGGTCACAATTTTAATCCGATTTTGTTGAAACTTGAAATGTAGGTTTATAACCCAAAGATCTTGGTTCCTTTCGATATTCGCGCCTATTGGACCGTAACTTCCTGAATTATGGCCCCTGATTGTACGAAAAATCGCGTTTTTAGCTTGTGGACCCTATAGAGGTCATAATTTTTATCCGATTTAAAAAAACGTATTATTATATCACCGTTACACCCTAAGGACGACTGAGTTAAAATCGGCCCAAAACTGACAGATAAAATGGCCGCCCTTCGTTCTCAAATAGCGTAAAAATAGGGTATATCAAAGTTGTGAACCCCATAGAAGTCACAATTTTTATCCGATTTTGTTGAAACTTGAAATGTAAGTTTATAACACAAAGATCTCGGTTCCTTTCGATATTTGCACATATCGAATTGTAATTTCCTGAATTATGGCCCTTGATTGTAGGAAAAATCACTTTCTTCTTAGCTTGTTCTCTATCCATCACTCGAAAATGTGGGCGTATCCTGCCTGGCAGCCGCTGGTTAAACTATTATAGCGAGAACTGTGGGCACTTTATTTAAATCTTACATTAATGCATCTTTATAAGTGATTTTATGATTACAATGGCAATTAATGAACATGCCTCTAAAGCTTAAAGGAAAAATCAGTTGTCTCGACAGCCTGTTGCTATTATAATTCCAAAACTAAAAATAAATACTTACATTTCTGTTATTAGTTTGGATTTTGCAAAGCTCCTAATATATTGTAAAAATATATTAAAAAGGAATGAGCCTACATTCAGATTGTCCGTTATGTGGTTTAATTTGTGCATACACTTCTGATATGTATGTATGGAGTCTGATACCCCCCAAATATTTACAATTGCTTATGCACTATTTTAATCTACATAGATGTAAAGTCGCAGTGGTGTGTATACTGTATGTATAATTGTATTTCACTTCTTTACAAGTACGTTATAAAACACAAACATTCTACAAATGATCAGTCTGATCTGCAGATAATCAGCTTATAGTCATTAAATCTGCAAGCTTATCATTTGCAGAGGATGGGTTTGTAGAATGCTTGCATATTGTTTCACGATATTGTGAATGTTTTGAATCACTTTTTAAAAGAAAAAAATCTGTTGTTGCACTTGTTCCTCTAGTTTATCACCAGATCAAATTTTTAAAAATATTTTTAACAATGAAAACTGGTAACCGGTACTATTTTTATATGAGCTGTAATTGGGCTACCTCAAAGCAATCAAGAAGACAGCTATAAACTAATTTACAAGTTTTTAAATGAACAAACACGTTATATGGGAAATCATTAAAACTAGATTTAGGTGCATTTGATAAACCTGGTTATTAAATTCTACTAAAAAAGGGATACTTTTTTTATACATGTGGGCATATTATGTTGACACCCTTGCCACCAGCCTTTCCGTCAGTCAATAAGTGGACAAACCCTATTGATACTCGCCCGTCCCCACCAACCCACTTTTTCAAAAACATTGTTAACAGGACAGATGCTATAGTTTTAACCAAAACAAATCTTTTTCAAATTTGGTTGGAAGCATTGGGGTCATGAGAGGACTTATATACTCTATTTTGGTTCCTTTGGAAGTTGGTATGTGTCGGAACATAACTTTATGGCCACTGATTGTATGAAAACTTACTTTTTTAGCTTGTGGACACTGTAGAGGTCACAATTTTCATCCGATGTTGATGACACTTGAAATGCATATTTATAACCCAAAGATCTTGGTTCCTTTTGATATTCGCCCATATCGGATCTTAACTTCCTGAATTATGGCCCCTGATTGTACGGAAAAAATCACGTTTTTAGCTTGTGATCCCTCTAGATGTCACAATTTTTATCCGATTGAAAAACATGTTCGAGTATATCACTGTTACATCAGTATGTTGGTTGAGGTCAAATTTCGTGAAAATAGGACCAAAACTGCCGGACAAAATGGTCGCCCCTCGTACGCAAATAGTGTCAATATATGGTATATCAAGGTTTTGGACCCTCTAGAGGCCACAATTTTGATAAGATTTTGATGAAACTTTAAATTTATGTTGACGTCGCCAAGATTTTGGTTCCTTTTGAAAATCGTGCATATTGTTCGTAAAATTGCATTTTTAACTCATGGACTCTTTAGAGGTCACAATTTTTATCCAATTTTAAAAAACGTTTAAATTTATCAACGTACACTCTAATGATGGTTGAGTTTCAATTTTCGTAAAAAACTGACTTAAACTGATGGACAAAATGGCCTCTCCTTGTACACAAGTAGAGTAAAAGTATGTAATACAAAGGTCGTGGACACCGTAAAAGTCACAATTTTTATCCGATTTTGGTGAACTTGAAATGTATGATTATGATCCAAAGATCTTGGTTCCCTTCGATATTTTCTCAATCGGACGGTAACTTTCGGGATGATGGCCCCTTATTGTATGAAAAATCGCGCTTTTAGCTTGTGGTCCCTCTAGAGTTCACAATTTTTATCCGATTTAAAAAAACTTGGACCCTCTAGAGGTTACAATTTTTATCCGATTTTAAAAGCGTTTAAATGTATCACTGCTACACCCTAATGACGGTTGAGTTCGAAAATCGGACCGAAAATGCCTGAAAAAATGGCCGCTCCTTGTATGCAAATCGTGTAAAAGTATGTAATACTAAGGTTGTGGACTTAGCCGATTTTGATGAAACTTAAAATATATCTTTACATCCCAAATATCTCAGTCCATTTCGATATTCGTGCATTGCAGACCATGACTTCCTGGATTGTAGCCACTGATTGTGCGAAAAATCACTTTTTTTTAGCTTGTTCTCTATTCATCTCTTGCAAAATGTGGGCGTATCTTGCCTGGCAACCACTGGTTTAATCCTAGCCACTGATTGTGCGAAAAATCACTTTTTATTTTAGCTTGTTCTCTATTCATCTCTTGCAAAATGTGGGCGTATCTTGCTTGACAACCACTGGTTTAATCCTGTAGTGTTAGTAAAGGGGAATTTGATTACATATATACACTTACCTTCATTTTATTTATATATTTTATAAAGACCAAGGTCTTTATGTATGTTTTTACCTTTATCAATTCATGTATTCATATTCGTAGTTAAGAGATAACTTCTCTATGTACAGGTTAATCTAATCCTTACACTGATTTTATCAAATCATTGTAGAGTTTTTATTTCATTTAATCCATTGAATTTAAATTTATCATTCAATTCTTAAAAAAGTCAATCCAGAGCATGTAACTTTATGGCTGATTAAAAATGCTTTTAATTTGAAGTTATTAATCATTTTGTTAAATATAATTATGCCTATTTTTGTGTAATATTTTTTCATATTTATGATAATATGCATGTAAATAAGTTGTTGATTGTATACAGCCATTTGTCATTAGATCTCCCTATATCTTTCATCAAGCTTTATTCATTGTTTCAAGTTATAGTTCTTTTCATAGAACCTTTATGGGCGTCATTCCATTGACTGAAACTTTTAAAATGGAATTTTGTTTAAAATCCACTGATTAGAAGGACGGCATTTAATTAATTAATGTGGGTTGAAAAAATGGCTTCTGAATTAATACTGTTTGATATTTAAAATGAGCTTTGAATTTGATCCAGTAAGATGGTGTATCTTGTTACCAAAACCTAAACTCACCCTCTGTAAGTTCTATCGCTTAGTCATTATCGTGTTTCCATGTGTATTGAATGGGGAAAGTTATCCCCATTTTATCATAACCTTTCTTTTCGATCATGGAGATTTGGGATCTGCACACCACATTTAGTATGGGTGTAAAATATTATTGGAAGGCAAAGCTGAAACAAACTTATACCTCATGTCAACACGTCTACTTCACAGTTGTAGTATAACTTTATGCTGTATGTATGGCAGCTTTTTGTTT